TTTACGCTTTTACCTCAGTTTACGCTTCCGTTTTCATGTTTGATAATCTAGCAATCTTGTTTAGAAAATATTTTAAATCATTCTTGAAAAATCCCCCTTTCATGTAAGTTCATTTGAATTCGCTTTATAGATTTCAATTTATGTTTTGTTTTTTCTTTACATTTTATTTCTGTTATTACGTTATATTTTTGCTTGATGTGATTTATTCTATTTTGTTTCAAAAAAAAAATTTTTTTTTTAGTGTTCCTCACTCTATTGTATTGATATATTTTGCTTTGGCTATATTGATACAATATTAGAAAGCACTCCTTTTTGGGGATATAATCGTGTGAGCTGATGAAAAAATTACGTCTTTTACTTCTCCGGATTTTTTCCCCTTTTTCATTATTCTGCAACTTTTTCCAGATTTTCTCTACATTTTAATTTTTTGTGTTTTACTATTTACTTGCAGCTAATGCGCAGTAAATAAAACGTATTGTTTTCCTTAATTTTCTTCTTTTTTTTTCTTTTTGTCCTTTTTATATTTATACACATGTATATAGATACAAATGTATATAATAATTATTATATATATGAAATATTAAATGTCTCATACGAGTCTTTCCATATTACATCATAACTTAAAATAGATTTCTTTTATTAATTTTAAGCCCTAGAAGTAGCGTTCCTTGACAAAAAGGCATAAAAAGTCAAGATGCGAATTCAAAGATTATTTTCTGAAGTTCATAGGTAATAATTCTTAGAAAAATACGCATTAAGAAAATCCCAAAAATTCCCTATCGTCTGAATGGCGTCATTTTTAGAACATATCAAAATCTCTAAATTTTTCATTTGAATGATGTTTGATTAAGATATTCTTGCAACCAATTCCCTTTTAGAATCCCTGGTTAAATAGCAGGAGCCATCGAAAATGTGTGGCTTTTTCATATTTTCATGGCTAGATAAATCTGTGCCAAAATCCCAACATTCCTGCTACAGAAACCTATCATTGCAATCCATGCAAAAATCCAACGTAAGCTGTTAAATAAATTTAATAAGATGCATATTTATTTAAATTAGCTAAAGTCTCTTGAATTATCTAGCTTTTGAAGGCATATTATTGCAGATATATATTACTTCAGTCGACGGATCATGGGTTAGAGTTCCCTTGAAGTCTGGTTAACTCTGGGAGGTTTTGGGAGTTTTCCTCTCCATAACACGCAAATGCGGGTTAGTTCCATCAAAAAGTCCCCCGCGAAGGCAAAAATTGTCCCAATACTTGGTAAAGAAGTACCCGTGTGTCCTAGATTGTGTTCAAAATTACAAGGCTACGGAGTTAAACACTAGTAATTTTAAACTCAAAATAGAGCTTTGCTGTTCAACGACTGTTATAAAATAAAATGTCTTATATGAATTTATGATTAATTTTTGAAATAGCTTATTAATTTCTCGAAACTATTCGTCTTTTTTTCTTCATATACCAATTTATGATTAATTTCTATAAAAGTTTATATAATTCCTGTAAGCGCTTCGAATATTCTTTGCTTTGTTTTTTTACTTTATACAAATTTCTGATTTAAATTATTTTTTTTTAAAAAAAGTTTATTAATTCCACTAAGTTCCTCGGCTGTTATTTTTTAAACCAATTTAAAACTATTTTTCGGATGTTTGCAAAAGTCAGAGCGCTGATCAAAGATTTTTTTTCCTTAAACTAACTAATTTTTTTTTTTTTTTTTNCTCGAAACATAGAAAAATGTGCATAGGTTTGGTGGCAACGCCAACACTCTAAAACGTTTTCTTAAATAATTCTCTATATTTAAAATTATATGGAATAAATTTATACGGAAAACTGCATACTGGACTTTTCATAAGCATAAATGTTCTTTCTTGAAAAAGGCGAGAATATAAAGTAAACAGTTTTTAACAGAAGAAAAAAAGAGTAAACAAAACAAAAAACCTATCTTGCAAACAGCTAACCAGATTCCAATCAGCCTCTCTTTTAGACACCAGCTTTCTTTTTACGAGACAGTCGATCAGGTTTGATAAGCCCATAATGACCCGAGTGACCACTGGCCAACGCTTAATGACCGATAGATTGGCCCTGTGGTCACTACCTCAGGGGAGTCAATACCCTGCTAGTGCTTTAATGTAAGCAACTCTTGAAGGTTGCCCTTTATTTGCTATGTCTCTTCTTTTTTTTATTTATTTCTGTTTTTCTCCTTTTATTCTGCTTTCCTCGTCGCCTCCAGTCTTCTTCTGCTTTAATCAAAAGCGACAGAGTATCAAAATCGAACACAACACCGTCTCCAATGATAGAATAATAATAAACGCTTGCCTCTCACTAACCAGAAGGCCTGACGCCTCTGGGTTTTTTCGTAAAACTTTACAACCTCTTCTTGGGCATAAAGTACCGGGTTTAATAGCGTTTGATAAACACTTTCAGATCTTAGGGGAATGATTCTTTTTATTTATTTTAGTTTGCTGCATTTTTATGTGCGAACACGACGAATCGTTTTTTTTCCGTCACATTCTTTCAAATCGTGAGGTTTTATGAATAAAAAAAAATGGTATCGTCTGATTTTATTACTTAGATTCATACTCAATTTTTGCGTCGAAGATATAACTAACGTTCGACACTTTCAGATCTTAGGGGAATGCTTCTTTTTATTTATTTTATTTTATTTAATTTAATTTTTTTATTTACCTATTTATTTTATTTATCTATTTTAGTTTGCTGCATTTTTATGTGCGAACACGACGAATCGTTTTTTTTTCGTCACATTCTTTCAAATCGTGAGGTTTTATGAATTAAAAAAAAATGGTATCGTCTGATTTTATTACATAGATTCATACTCAATTTTTGTGTTACAGATATAACTAGCTTTCGACACTTTCAGATCTTAGGGGAATGCTTCTTTCTATTTATTTAATTTAATTTAATTTAATTTTTTTATTATCTATTTATTTTATTTATTTATTTTAGTTTGCTGCATTTTTATGCGCTAACACGACGAATCGTTTTTTCGTCACTTTCTTTCAAATCGTGAGTTTTTATGAATAAAAAAAAAATGGTTTCGTCTGATTTTACTGCAAGGATTCTTACTCAATATTTTTGTGTTACAGATATAACTAGCTTTCGACACTTTCAGATCTTAGGGGAATGCTTTTTATTTATTTATTTTTAGGTTGCTGCATTTTTATGTGCGAACACGACGAATCGTTTTTTTTTTTTTTTTTTTTTTTTTTTTTTTTTTTTTTTTTTTTTTTTTGTCACATTCTTTCAAATTGTGAGGTTTTATGAATAAAAAAAAATGGTATCGTCTGATTTCATTACATGGATTCATATTAAATTCTTGCGTAAAAGATATAACTAGCGTTCGACATTTTCAGATCTTAGGGGAATGCTTCTTTTTATTTATTTATGTTTTAGTTTGCTGCATTTTTATGTGCGAACAAGATGAATCGTTTTTTTTTTTTCACCATCACTTTTGTAAGGTTTTATGAGTAAAAAAAATGGTATTGTCTGATTTCATTACATGGATTCATACTCAATTCTTGTGTTAAAGATAACTAGCGCTCGAAATTTTGAGATTTTAGGGGAATGCTTCTTTATATTTATTTGTTTGTTTGTTAGTTTGCTGCATTTTCATGCGCGAGCACGATGAATAATTTTTCTTTCAATCACTTTCTCTCAAATTGTGAGGTTTCATGAATAAAAAAAAATGGTATCGCCTGATTTTATTATATGGATTCATACTCAATTCTTGCGCCGAAGATATAATCTATTTTTTTTAACGATGCATTTCTGCACAATTTTCTATAACTTTTCTTGTAGCAAATATTATACTAAAGAAAAAATTCAAGAGCGAATAAATATTTTGCCAACTTTCAAGAAAATGAATCAGAGCATTTTTAAAGATAAATTGGGGCGGATAAAAATTTGTTATGTGTTTTTGACATTAAATCTCTTATCCCACTTCAAATACTGAAATTCTCTTTTTTTGGAACTTTTCCAAAACGATGAAAACAATAATGGAAATTCCTTAGATTCTGAAAAATACTTTTTTTTTTCTTTTGTGTGTGTGGTGTTCCTCTTTTGTTGGTCATGAATTTTCTGCAAAAGGGAGAATGATTTCGAAAAACTATCACAAGGTTTCCCCTTTTGATAAAAAACTACTTTTTTTTTAGTCTTTTCATTGCAATGTTCTGATTTAATGAATTTTGAAAACTTGGATTTGAGCCACCCATTTAAAAAAATAAATAAATAAACCGAGTTTCATTTAGGTCACAGCTTTGAAAATATTTATCATTTCTTTATTTCTTTCATTTAAGATATTCCTAGTAAAAAAAAGAAAGAAAAGAAATAAAAACATAGTTTTATAAAGTAACCCCGTGCTATATTTTATTTTTGATGTACTTAAAAACCTGTCTTTCGCCTACCATTACATTAATTAAAAAAACTCCTTAAAGCACAAATATTTTTAAAATTCATTGAAATTTCTTGTTTTTACTCCACTCGCTTTCAATTATCTTGATTTTTTCCCCTCTCCACGTAGAACTCAAATAACCAAAAATGGTTGAAAAAATAAATTAAGAACGATTTCTAGAAAGTTCGAAAACAAAGAGGAAAGATAATTTTATGCTGAGATATATTTCTGTTGCATAAAAAATATTTTAAAACCTATATTACTCTTTTTTGCTATTGATGATATACGGATACATAAGAACATTTTAAAATTCACAAAGAAATACATCTATGTACAAAAACCTAAAAATAATATGTATTAAAATACTTATGTATCACTGGTACCCGGTGACCAGCATCAGAATCTAGAGTTGTTCTTACGTATGGTCGGTTTAGATACCAATAAAGTAAAAATATGCACTTTTACTTTCGTTGCTTGTAATGAAAATTAAAGTATCGCCGTGCATATCAATGATTCTAAAAAAAAAATTTTAATTTATTTTTTATGATTAAAAAGTATGACTTAGTAATTTTTTTTTCCCCTTCTTATTTTCAGTCTGTTATTCAGATGCCGGGTTTTCGAAGTCTTGGAGACGAAGAAGTGGTCGAATTCGAATATAAATCATCAGATAAAGGTCTGGAGGCCACATTTGTGACTGGACCAGAGGGTGAAAACTGCAAAGGATCGCATCGCAGACCCACCTCCAAAAAAAGATTCAGGAAGATCAGGTCAGTCGATGGTCAGCCACAAAGCTGATTTCATAATCAAACATCATTTCTCACTCATTCACATTTGGCTCATTTGTTACTTCTTAAAAGGCAATTCTGTTACTTGCTGAAGAACTGCTATTATTCTGAATCGTAATCGACTTACTCATTCAGATTTGACTCATTTGTTACTTTAGAAAACGATTTTTTTCACTTGCTGAATCGTAATTCTCTTACTCATTCAGATTCGGCTCATTTGTTACTTTAGAAAACGATTTTTTCACTTTCTGAATCGTAATTCTCTTACTCGTTCAGATTTGGCTTATTTGGCTAATTTGAATCGAAGTCGTTTAGAAGAATCAAATATTTTGGAGTCAAAGTCTCGTCCTTGTATTTTCCAGAATAAAAAGATAACTAAAAAAAAGCGATCAGAGCAAATATTAATCTAAATATTTCAGTTGAACACAGACCGATCTGTAAAAAAATAATTATTATATATAGCATTTATTTTAAACCTCATCTCTTTAATTTTTTTAAAGATAATGGGGAATAGGAAAGCTCTCTTTTCAGCGATGTGTAGTTTTATCTGCCTGAATCGTATAGAGTTAGAATAAAATATCGGAATTCCGAAGTTGGAGGAATTCCGAATCCCTTTGTGTTTAATAAGCATCCTTTTCATCGTATAAGGGTGAGGAGAAAAAATGATAGCTTCGTTAGCGACTATTTTATAGGATAAGATTTCATTCACTTATCAAGGAATGTAAGTAGAAATGCTTTTCATTCAGGTTATCTATTCTGAGATCGTACGAAAAATATCCAAGTTCCCGTTACTTGATATATTGCGCAGTTTAGAAAAAGAGTATTAAGTAAAATTTGAAAACTCGAGTTTTTTTTTTACTCACTAGAAACTTAAAGACGAGAAAGTAAAATAAAATTTGTGTGTAGTTAGCCTTGATGCTTTTGATTAACGTTTATTTTCACAATATATTGGCTAAATACAAATTGGCTCTTTGAAATGAAGAAAATTATTTTAGACTAATACGTTGCTGTCAATTGTAATAAATCTTAACTGCCTACCCGATCTTTCTTTTTCTTTTCATTGAAAAAAAATGGAAATGACCCAAAATTCAAATATTACAGTAAATTTGCACTTCCATTACATTAACTGTTTAATTAAAAAAATTTTCGTTCTTTTTTTAGAAAAAACCGTTCTCTACAAATTGTTCGCCCAATCAGTAATATTGATTTTTTTTAAAAGAAGTTATTTCAATAACAGCACTGTAAAAATAAAATTTTTTATTTCTAGAAAATTTCCATCAAACTGATATTCTATACACTTTTCTAGTAACATTACAGCAATAATAAAATTTGATAATTTTGATTTAAAAAAAAGCTTTCAAAGACCTAACACGCTAGTGTTCAGTGTTTCTTTCTCTTAAGTAAAATGAATAATCATTGCTTACTTCAGAGAACTTTAAATAACATTCATAGACAGTTTTAATTATAATTGTTTATTGATCATTAAGTAGTTCATTTAATCAAAAAACTACACTATGCATTACATACCGTTAAAAAGCAAAATTTTTCAAAAATGTGTAATTTAAGATTGAATAAAGCACTGCTCTTTTAATAAAACCACCCGCTTTATTGAATAGAGTTAGCTTGAATCAAATTTATTCTTTTAAGTGGCATCGACTGTACTGAGTTTAATACAGTAATATTTCTTATGAAATTCCAGTTCCCTAAAATTCTTTCAACAATATTATAGATTTTTTTTTAACAATGTCAGGGGTGAATGATAAAATTGAGAGAAAAAAAAATCCACTCACAAAAGATGCGTCATATCTTTTTAGATATTAAGAAAATTTAATTTTAAAAACTTCTCATATACCAACACACATAGCATAGTAAGGTTTACTTTCACTCAACAAAAACCTTTTAATGTAAACCTAAAAAGGTTTGTAATACAGTTTACGTGTAAACCTTGTAACCTTAAAACGAGATCTGTCACAATCTGCTCTATTCTACGCACATTACCCTGATACAAAACCTTTTAAAACTACCTTCTATATAAAAACCTTCAATCGAAATTGACTTAGGGTTTTCAAGCGTGAAAAAATCCTTTAATAAAGCTAGTCTCAAGGTGAAATTAATCTTAAATCTAGGTAATTGTAAGGTTTCTTTTTGCCAAGTCTTGTATGTTCAACCTTGTCATGAAATTTTAATGGACAATGCAATTTGATCCTATCGCTAGTGTGACGTCAGCTAATACGTCATTTACCATTTTACTTAACTGACAATACTTTTTAAAAAAAAAGCTTTTAAGAGATCATTTTTAAACCTTTTAGAATGAAATGTTTGAGCTGCAATATTTTTTCTTTATTGAAAAAAGATTTTTAGCTCAAACATCTTCGTCACAATAAAAAGAACATTCCGGCGCAAGGTTGTTGTAAGGTTTACATGATTTCTGGGGAAATGATGTACTTTTTTAAAGACGGTAAGAAACAAGAATTATATCGAAACTCCAGACTCTACATTTACTAATGGATATTATTTCTCCTCCCTCCCCCTCTTCCAGTGCGATGCAACATTCCGCGGATGATTTTTGGAGGATGGGGTGGTTGTTGTGTGTATTGATTCAACTCTCCATTTTGATGGGTGGGTGGGGATGAAAATGTAGAGGGGGGGAGGAACTCTGTCCAACTGTCACTAGCCATTGTCCACTGAAAGTACAAGAGACGCTGTCAAATCCGCCGTCAAGGGGAAAGCAGTTTATTTCGCTGCAATTGTAAAGATTCCAAGATAGGCCTCTGCATCGCCTTTTCCGATGGCTATATTTGAGAATTCCAAATTTGGCACTTTTCGAAGCTCTGACGCCAAGGTAATAAATAAAAGAAGCCATAGTTTAAATGCTTTACACTTGAAGTAATGCGATGATTCTAAACTTGATGTATGATCCTACAGTGAAGAATTACCTGTGCTTTAGAACGGACAAATAACTTAAATATTTTAAAAGTTATGAAACTTTTTTTTAAAAAATCGCCAAATTGGCAACATTTTTTCACCTAGATGAAAATTATCAAAATCACTGCCTTATTCTCAGTTTTTAAAATTTTTATATGCCCAGTTAATGCAACATTGGAGAAAGTTTTTAAATATTAAAAAATCGACCATAAACACTTTTCAAGAACTGCAAAAAACTGTGGCTTTTCTCCATACTGATGTTTTACACCATTTTCAAAATAAGCGTAGACAGCGCTGGCTTTAGATATGCTAAACTTGGTCAATCAGTCATGTGCAAAAGTAGCAAACTCACGGCAGTTATAAAAATGGCACATGATTAGTAAAAAAGTTTCACTTCATATTACCTTAAAAGTGAGGTTTTTCGAAGGCTTTTTCTCCAAGTAAAATAATAAAATCCACAGTTAAACTACACATGACAACTTGTCATGAAAAATTATCTAAATTTTAAAACCGGACGAATAACTTTAATATTTCAAACTTTTTTAAAAATTGCCAATTTGGAGACATCATTACCCCTAGATAAAAATTATCAAAACCAATGCCAAATTTTAATTCATCCAGTTGGCGAGATGTTTCAGTCAAATTGAAAATTAACAAAATCAATGAGTAATTCTCCAAATTTTGGAAAATTTCAAGAGTTCGGATAATGCAGCATTTGAGTAAGATTTTAGTTATTTTTTACATATATATGTAAAAAATAATTAAGATCGCAAGCGCTTTTTATTTTCACAAAACGGTAACTTTTATTTACAATTTGTAGCTATTTCAAAACTTCAAAATAAGCATAGAGAACTCTGTAAAATATTATTAAATCTTATGAGTTATTCATGATTAGTTATTCATGACTGTTAACAAACAGTAATGAATAGCTATTAGAAGTTGTCAACAGTTAAAAATAAGACTATTTGCCAAAAACGATAGACGTTAGAGCAAAACGAAACGACAGACGACTTCTCCAGACTATAGAACATTTGAAAAATAATAGCTTAAAGTTGTCCATTGATTAATTAGAACCTTATGTTTACAACAAAACAAAGTACAAAACCACGGTTTTGCCTTTAAAAACACAACACAAAACACATTTCTGATTTGAAATCATATTTTAAAAAGAAATTTAAATATTTGAGAACGCAGGATTCGACCTGACTTTTGAAAAAACTGAAAACGATCTGTAATGCAACATTTTTTGTATTAATAAAAATTTGATATTGTTCAATCATTTTCTTCAATCATGTTCATTCATGATATTGTTCATTTTATATTGTTCAATCAACATTCATGTTTCGAATGTTTCTCGATTCGCAACGAATGAATTCTACATTCAAAGGATGCATTCTAATTCAAATATATGAAAAGAAACAGTCTTATTCAAATATAAAAACTTTCTAATTCAAATATAAAACCAAATAAAGGTATGATAATTACCTTTTGAAAAACGATATATTTTTTAAACACGTGTATTTCAATTTGGCAAATCGTACCCCTAACAACCTAATTATTATTAAAAAGCTGAAAATTTTAATTCAAAGCAGATATTGCATACCAAATTTGGTGAGATACCAATCTAGCAACTTAGAACCTATCAGTATTTTTTTTTTAAGTGCATTCCATTAAATTTTTGAAGATCTCGGGGTATCAGGTTAATTATTTATTTATTTTTAAGCAAAAACATTTATTTTATTTCTTTTTTTAACTTTGTCTTACGGACGGATCACTAGGAAAAATTTCATAATTTAAGTAGTAAAGCTTTTATAATTTTAATACATCAATGGAATCAAATAAAAAATAATAAATACATAAAATGCAAATAAATAAATGTATAAAAAGTAAATATATTAAATAAAAACTTACTCTTTCGTCTTCGTGGTGTGTGAAAACACTGAATACTTGCAACTTTTGTGTATATGACATCCATAATTTCTCCTTCACCGTCTTACTTTCGAAACATTTTTTTAAAGAGAATGAACTCTTTTTATTATAATTTACATGATTACCTT